TATCCTACACTACGGACGCCCTAGTGTATGCACAGTCCTTGTGATGCCAGAAATGCTTACCCCTCTTTCCAGCGCAAGGCATACATAAGCGGGGGGTAAATTTACCCCCCAGATTTGCAATAACCATACACCGGCTATTTCCTCAAGACACTCTATTCCACATACCTTTTTTACCCGTGCTTCTCCTACACTACGGACGCCCTAGTGTATGTACAGTCCGTATGATGTCAGAAATGCTTACCCCTCTTTCCGACTCAAGGCATACCGGAGGGTAAATTTACCCCCCAGATTTGCCGATCACGCATCTTCGTGCCTGCCAACGAGTGCACCCGGGTTGTTCCAATGTACCCTTCCCAGTCAGCGATGTCACATTTACATTCTTTAGCGCAAAGTATGTACATAGCAGCCTTCCTCCCAAAACATGTCATCCCTACATGCTTTGCCGACTATGTAACTAGTACATCCGGTGCGATTCGGCTAGCTTTCGACCTCTCCCCCTGGCCTCAAGTTCCATGTGTATATGCAATGTATATATATATATACACACTATATAATCATATATTATCGACTCCTGATCAAGACGTATATACAAATGCCTGTCTTTGACCCCGCCAGGTCATTGTGAGATGCCGAGAAGTCCCCCTCCAGGCTCCTCAGTCAGTGTTGTCTTCAACAGGAAAGGAAAGATGTTTCAGCCTGCAATACACTGGCTACTAGGAGATAGGGGGCCGTACTGAGTGGATAAAATTGGGGACGTCAGTGCCTGGACTTTATATCTGTGTGCCAGCCTGCCAGCAACCTAACCGGGGGGTCTATCCCTCAAAAGAATCAATCCAAGTAAGGAGTTGATGTATCTTTTTTTTTGGGGGGGGGCATGATTTGAGGGTCAGTGCATTACAATTATCCAGACTTAATGTATTGCATTTCCTAGAATTTTATCCAACCAGTAGTGGGAGTAGAAAGGAAAGAAAAGATAGAAAAGATACAGATTAGAGAGAAGAATAAAGAAACATTGAATGGCAAAGACGATAATTATGTATATAATAAGGAAACAAAGACGTCTGCAACAATCCTTACCAAAAGAAAGAACCTGGATGAAAAACCATTGCTCGCATCCATTGCTCGCATGCCCGGGGCACATGCAAAATGACAGCGCCTGGAAACAGCTCTATGCTTTTGACATCTTCATCCAGCCCACAGTTTTGCTTCAAGGATGCCGTCAACGTTCTCCAAGCCATTGCACGGCTTGTTCTTTTGGCAGGCATGCCTTCGATCTGCCTGATGATTGCAGCCTCACGCTCCCCTTGCTGTTGCCAATTGCGAGGTTTCCGGTGAGAAGCCAATGTCCAGAAGCCTTTTCTGCCCTTCCACGGATGCGGTAGCCTCCCCCCTCAAATTGGACAGAAGAACGCACAGCGGGCCCAAAGCAGGCTCAATGTCTTTCATCTCTTTGTCTCCAAGGCGGACTCGTTTCGATGCCGCTGACAAAGTCCTGATATCATGTGTCTTCGTCGTGACCCCGAGCAAAGCACTCAAATCAGGATCACCAGGCTCTCCTGAGAAGAGAAAGAGTGATGAAGAGACAATTCATGGCATGAGCTTTGTCGACTCCAATATCAGGGAAAGTCAAGAAGTGTTGTTTTTGTTTGATTGATGATTGAAGGCTTAATTTTGTGCATTTCTCTGGTTGACAATAAGAAGGTCACATCTGGATATTTTTCCAGCACTGAGATGTGTGCAAACACATCTGGATTTTGCAAGCACATCTGCTTTTCGGGAGCCGTTTCGTCGATCCTATTCGTCTAGCTTGCTAACCTCAAGCCTTCCTAAAATAATATTTTTGCATTGGTCAGCTAGGAGCAAGAAGCTACTCGTAGCTCCTGGCATTACTACTAGGAACAAGAAGCTACTAGTAACAAAGGGCATCGCTACTAGAAGCAAAGTAGCATCGGCTATAAATCTCACAAGAACAACCTCGACTGACCTGAATCCGCATACAATCACTTCATTGAGCTAGGGCTTAGGCTTTGCAAAATTTAGCCCCGAGCAAGAAGGAGCTGTCTTCGCAATGAATGGCACTTTAGCCGTTTTCATGCATTAATCAAAATTTTCGGTTGACTGCCAACAAACTCATCAAAGACAAAGAGCATGGGCTCGCGTCATCTTCGCAATACCCCAGGACTTGTAGGAGCCGGGATCAATACCGGAGGTCCTTCAACAGTAGCCGAGTTTTGGCACAATCATCTCATCAAAATGTGGCGTTGCAATTTAGTGCACGTGCATGTGTGTGTGGGCACGCTCCAGCCAGGCGCGGGTCAGGTACGCTGCGGAGGTGAGCAGTGGGTCCAAGAACATGTGAGAGATTGAAATATCCCCGCGCTCAGCAGTTTAGTATTGACATGCACCTCAACACTACTAATGCATTCTTGCCCCAGAAAACGATAAGAATAAAAACGATAACAATGATTATACCGGCACATCTCATGGGTTTCAACCTATCCCATTAACCATAGATAAATGTTAATGGAAGAGTTGACTAGCCTCCTCCTACACTCCCCCCTTGCTGAAGGAAGAGGTGAGAACCTAGCTTTCATATCTCACTTTCCATTCAGCAACCGCACTGCCAGTACATGAACCACGAAATTGGCAACGTGCAGACCTGAACTCCGTGGCTGGGCTTTGTGGCCCGGCTCTGTGTCCTTCTCTTGTCCTCCTCTTGGCCGCGCCCTGAACTCTGTGGCTGGGCTCTGTGGCCCGGCTCTGTGTCCAGGCCTTGTCCTCCTCTTGGCCCCTGAGTTCTGTGGTTGGGCTCTGTGGCCCGGCTCTGTGTCCAGGCCTTGTCCTTCTCTTGTCCTCCTCTTGGCCGCGCCCCTGAACTCTGTGGCTGGGCTCTGCGGCCCCGAGCTCTGTGTCCAGGCCTTGTTCCTCCTCTTCTTCTCCTCCTGATAACGAAAACCTTGAAATCTCAAATACCATCTAGAGCGTGACTCTTGACAGATAACCATGCCATATGTGTTGTGCCCACAGTCTTTGGATCATTGGAAGGACGTGTCCTCAAGCTCCTCCAGCATTTTTGCGTATTGGCCTTGGCTGAGATTTTTCCGTGTTCCAACCTCCAGCTACCCGTGGGCTTGCACTTGCCGCGATGGGTCTGCATCGAAGTGTAGGAGATACTCAAACAACCTATAGTATTGTCATGGGTCCACTCTGCTGCTTAGGCTGCCGAGAACGCGACACATCCTCCGACCAGGTGCTGCCTAAATAAATATATTATATATATATATGTATGTTGATATGTTCAGTTCAGACGACCCAGCAGCCGCCGACTGTAGGGAAAAAGGACAAAATCAGAACTAGAAGAGGAGTTGGTAAGAAAAGAACGGAATATACAAATTGTCAGTAGCTAGAAACTACTAGTAACTAGTAACAAGGGCATCGCGACTAGTAACAAGGGCATTTTTTCAGAACATGTTTCAACTGCCAGGGCATCCAAACATCACCTTCAGGGCTTGGTCTCCTGTGCGTGTGGAGCCTTGCGGGGTGCGAAATTGAAGCAAAGGAACGAAATTGCACGATTTGTTTTTTGTTGGCGACAGACCCCGACTGAACTTGGGTTCCTTTTTAGACACAGTTGAAATCTTATGGTGCTACTTGTTCTGCAGTAGACACATACGTACTTAATAATGATAGTAGTAATATTAATAATACAATCGACGTAGTTTGTTTGCGGCCCCTCTGAATTGAATGGCGATCGAAGCTCACTCACTACTGATCATGACAGAACACTACCAAGACTCGACATACTTGTATTGTTTCAGCGCTTTTGTGTGACCTATGTATAAGTGTTTGCGGCTGGATGTTGCATGCGTGGCTTTGCGAGCTTGGGCGTGTGTTTAGTCCTCTAAATCTATGTCAGTTTCAGCAAGCAGGAGCCTGACTTGGTAGCTGGCCGTGCTTGGGTCTCTTCTTCACCAACTGCTGAGGGCGTGGAGGATCGATATTGGGAAAGGCTCATGCCAGCTATGATTCTGTGAAATCTGGATGGAAAAGACAAGAAACTGGACACCTAAGGTATGCACACGAGAGTTTTTCCCAATTTGATCGAACTGATGACAATGATAAACAACAATATGTTAAATTGGGTTACATATGATCATTGGGGGCCCACAACCCTATGGCAGGAATCTCAAGATGCAGCTCCACGGGATCTCAAGAGCTTCTTGTGCAAGAAAGTGCTCCCCTCAGTTGAGCCAACTCAAAACCCTAGATGCTAAATAGGATTCTGTTTTTATGCATTATTCAACAAAACATGGTTGCGTAGCTTTGTGATCGACTTGGAGGATGTGCGTTTGGTTCACCTATCCGAGTCGGTGTGGTGTCATTCCAGCATCATGGAGACAGCAACAAGCTCCATTCTGCCTACCAGGTTTTACGTCATGTTTATTGCCTATCATTCGTGTCATTGTTCTTGGGCTGTAGGTGGCAAAAAATCATTACTCCAGCGGGGTAAAAGCCATTGACTCCGATCGCCTTGCAAAAATTAACGAATTTGTCCAGGAAGAGGCAAGAGATGCTAGAGCTCCCAGGTGGGAGCCCAGTGATGACAGCCAGACTAGCACTCGCACCTAGTTCAAAAAATATATATATATACATATTATATATATAATTCAACCATATTCAACCAATTTCTGACTTCATGTTGTATTGACAGGATTGTAGTGAATACAGTTTGGTACGTTTCTGAAGCTCTGAAGCTGCTACCTGTGTTGTAGACAGAAGTCACAAAGGTCGTCCCCCCAACTAGAACAAGAAGCTACTAGGAGCAAGGGCATCGTTACTAGGAGCAAGGACGCTACTAGGGGCACCTGTTTGAAGTCTTTCAACTCATCGCTTCGCTTGCCAGGGCCCGATCTCCTGATTGCTGTGATCTCCTTCAGGGTGACTGTTGGAGAAACGGTCGTGAGTCTATTTGTCGATGAGGCACGATCGTTACGACTATGTCTTCATGAAATAAAACATATCATGTCATCAAGCCTCTTAAGCAAACAGATTCAAAGTTCTCAAGACTCGTAGCAAAGGGTATCAGTGAGGTCCAAGGCGGTGAGACATGTAAGAATAAAGGTTGAGAAAAAGGGAATAACAAAGGCAAGGTAGGGGGCCTTATTGAAGGGGCCCTTACCATCTTTGTTTCCGTTATCGTTTCTTATGTTTGACTCCGTCTGAATTTGCCCAGGATATCATTACAAGCTGAGGAGTTTGGGAAAAGACGAGGATCAATCACGAAGCGCAAAGATGGTGCTTCTGTTTGAGTAAATGTTTACGCACCGCTTGTGCTAGTTGTTGTACAAAGACTTGGCATTACATTTTGCCAGGGGTGCTGTTGAAAGAGGGCCTGCATGGGAAGCGAAGCGATTTTGGGACTGCTTTTGCGAGAATTTAGTTGGATTTATTGTGCAATAGTCAGAATGTAAAGCACAACTCCTATTCTTTCTGTGGTGGCATCCGTGAAGCTCTCGGAGTTTTTGGCATAGCTTCGTTTCTATTGGTTTGGCCCATTTGTACAAAGTGCTCAGTAGCTCCCAGAATCACACCTCAAGATGATATGGTGGGCACATTATGGTGCTGGGAACGCAGTGTGAAGCCAATGCAACAAGGGCTTGGTTGAATCAAACCATCCTGTGAGAAAACAGATTGACCCTACCGGAATGTCAGGATGGGTTGGGGTGCAGGGAACTGAGTCGTTGAGGAGGATATCCCTCCAAGGAATGTATTTGTGAAGAATCAGAATGGGCTCAACCGGCCTTCCTTGTGGAATGCCCTTGACCCCTGTGTTTGTATTTGATTCTCTTTCTGAATTGTTTTTGGAGATTGTTCAGTCATTTGGAGAAGGAGAATTGGATCATGCTTGCCTTCCTGCCCAAGGCAGCTCCCTAGAAAACTACATCTGGAAGACCGTGTTCATTTATATAGTGCTGTCCGAGATCTTGTTCAGCTGGAAAGGTATACAACTATACTGGTATATTCTAAACTTATAAGACTATATGTGCAAACAACTCTTTCTGTATACGAGGAAACCAGCTTCCCGGAGATTTAGAGATTTGCCAACGATGAACAAAGCTTGGCATTTGTTCCAAACAAGGCAAGCACGGAGATGGAGCTGTGTTCAAAGTTTTCTAGTGGGGAAGGGCCTTAGAAGTTCAATAACCAGTATATAATGGATGCTGATACAATGACTAGCAGTCTCAATCTGCTTTTTGGCTTTCACACGTGCGCAGATTTCGAAGAAGTTTGGTCATAGCCAGGTCCGAATCTCAGGGAGGATTGAGCAAGATTGGTGAGAGTGATCTCAAATCTCGGGGTTAGCATTCCTCCATTCATACCCATCAGTCATGAATCATGAACATCTATGGTCCTGAATTAGACAGGAAATTGAGGTTTGGAACATCAATCTACAAACACCGGAGCTCATCCAAGATGTTCGCAGTTGGTAGAACAGGTAAGTGAGTGGGCTTGACAATTCAAGGAAGCAAGTCCTTGCAAGTCCATGCATTTTGCTACAGGCTACAGGTTCACTTGTTTTGTATTTCATCTCTTGGGAGCTGTGGCTCACATCATGTTTTATCCAACTCAGCCTAGCCTGTCACAGGTGGCAGGTCTTTTGGTGAACTTGGATCCCAAGAGTCCCAATGCCAGAAACTCAAATTTGGGAGCTGTGGAATTGCCTGGGAGCTGTGGAATGCAGTTGATGCTTGGCAGTTTTGACCCTGTTTTGTCATGATTTCTGCTCCAGTCAGCACTTTTCATGCAATCAATCCTGAACTGGTGGGAATGACTGGTGTATAGGTGAGAACACTTACTGTACAATTGTTCAGACCGAGTGTGTTGTCAGCAATTCTGTGGGTCCTCGCTCCCCCGGAAGGCTAAGAATCTTTGTTAGACCTAGCGGAGGCCAATACCGTCAGCCTGTTTGTTGATGGTGAGCGGGTTTCCCAGCCAGGGTCTCAGCCTGGCCTGTCGGTTCGCATGCAACTGCAAAGATGTCACAAGGGATGGCAGCCATATGGCGTAATGTACTTGCATCATATATACACATACTGTATATATATATATACTGTATATACCTCTCGCGCCACACGATCTGGTGAAAAGCGATGGCGGTATGCCAGCCACTCTGGGCTGAACATACAAAACCCCTCTATACAGAAAGGAAAGCAACCAGCCTACGGGAAGGGAACCCGCCAAGATTCGATGGTCCGGCCGGGTCCGGCATTCAAAATCTTCGCTACCGCAAGGAGCTCAGCGTCCGTAAAATGCGGTGCAGCATCGACAATTGCGCTTTGGCAAAGGACTTTCCCTGCGCATTTAATAAAGCGAGGGTCAAAGTGCCCAGGGAATGGCTGTACATTTGTGGTGTTCTTGGCCAAATATTGAAAGGCCTGGCGGATAATGCAAACAACTGCATGGATCGTAAGCACCTCGTAGTCACCAACAACACGAAAACCTTGCAGGTGAAAAAGGATTCCAAGCTCACAGAACGCGACTGCAGTTCCATTCGCTTCTTTCCAACGTAAGCCGCGAGCAAAGCGACACACACTGTCCCAATCTTGAGTGTGATATTTCCAGCGTTTCGGCGACGGAAGTGTGTGTGGTATTTTGGGCTTCCATTGAAAAATGCTGCGACTTGCAGCCCACTCCCATTGTGGGAACTGTTTGCGAGCCGTGGCTAAGGAAATGTCTTGCTGGCAATCCTCAACGACTTGTGTATGATTTGGCAAAACATCTGCATGCGTGTCCAACTGGCAGTGTAATTTCACCAGCCATTCTTGGTGAAGTGTAGCCGCCGCATACATGCGTTTCACCATGTCCGGGAAAACCGGCGAGATGCGTTGTGCACAGCTTTTGGCTGCATGGTCAGCAGCCCTGTTGAGGACGATGTGTTCGACAGTTGTCCCTGCACTTGCAGCTGCTTGCTCCGTCAACATGTGGTCAGGCACCTCCTCGAGGACATGGGCTGGAATCCACTGGAGTCTGAGTGGGACATTGTGTTGTAACTGTCTTTCCTCGTAGAGCGACAAAATGGCGTGCCACCAGTCTTGGCATTGCCATGTATTGCCGACTGCTCGACGCCGAATGAGCCGCTCAAAAGTCTTGACGACCGCCTGGTTGTCGCTTGAGGTTCTTGAGCGAACGAAGTGAGTTAAGGGGGTGTGGGGGGTGGTCGTTGAGAGGGACATTTTGAGAGGGTGAACCCAGAGCTTGGTGGGGGAGAGCGCTCCAAAGCGAGGGTCAGAAAAGCAGTGAACATGGGGTTTGGTGATGCGAGTGATGCAATGGACGCCGAGTAGTGCATCATAGGCATCATGAAGGGCCCAGGCTATTGGGACAATGGGCATTGAGCAATCGAGTGGAGACAGGGACCCACGTACAGAGCGGACTGCAGCCGCATCTAAAAATACGAGTTCCCAGGACAACCTGTGACACGCGAAATCCATAGAGAACCGAAAGTGACATGAGCTCAAGTCCTTGAATTACCCACATAGGGCTCCTCCCCCCTAGCAAAAACTATAGCCTCGGTCGAGTGGATGCTTCTCGCGGCGTCCACGCGCACCGAACGTTTTTCCGGCTTGCCGGTGCAGATAGATAGGTAGATTAGATACATACATAGATACATAGATAGAGAGAGAGAGAGAGATGGAGATAGAGAGATAGATAGTTAGATAGTTAGATAGATAAATTCTATATAGTGCTGACTCATGACGTCGCCTGTTTGCTGGCAGCCCTGGCCGAATCCAGTCAGCCTGGGTCCACGGCCCAATTATCTACACACGCAGGTGCCAAAGTCAAGGCCTCTGAGAGAGAAAGGCGCCGAGTTAATAAGAAAGAGAAGAAGGTGTTTGGATCGTTTAATAAGGCCCCTCTAAAGGAACCAGATTGTGTTTTGGATCGAGCCAGAACATGACTCACTCAAGTCCGGGCATGTGCATCGATAGGCGCACAAATCCTCACTCCTTTGCTAGCCCAAGCTACTCCCGCTGGACCTCCCCTTCTCCGCCGCGGGATCAAACGTCCGTGTCCCGGCTAAGACGTGCCCGTTCACTCTTCCAAATCAAAAAATGCCGCTTGTCGACGTGCCGCAGAATGCATTGCAAACATCAAACACTCCAAATGTAACAAGCACATAAGCTTCTTTTCAAACGCATGCCGTACGCGCGGCGACGCTGACAATAGAGAAGGTCTTCCTGCGCGCCCGCGCGCGCGCGTACGTGGAATCCCACCGCTCGAACTCAGACGGTGTTTCCCCTTCGCTAACGTTGATGTCGCCTTCCAACTTCCATAAGATGCATACCTTCCTGCGTGTGACAAACACATGCCATTGCCTTGTGGTGATGACCTACACCTACAACGTATCGCATTTTTCTTTCACTACTTCTTTCATACCAAACTTATTACCCCAAAGCCGCCCCGCTTGCTTCTCTGCTCCCTCCATCACCATTACATACGCCCCCCCGCATCCGCGGCACCGCTGGACGCCTGCCAGAAAAAGAAACACTCGTCTGGCGGCTGCTGGCTTTCGCCCCCCCCTTCTCAGCTTCATCATGAAAGCCAGCCGATAGGCTGGGCTTGAGGTTCTTGAGCGAACGAAGTGAGTAAAGGGGTGTGGGGGGGGGATGGTCGCGTGGGTGGTACCCAGACCTGGTGGGGGAGAGCGACAAAAAGAGGCGAGTGAAAATGCGTGGTTTTGTGGGGCATTGGGGGGCGTTGTGATGCCGGCGATGTAATTGACGGCCAGTAGTGCGTCATCAGCATCATGAGGGGCTCAGAAGGCTATGTAAACTGTTTTTACTAGGGTGGGAGTTCACGTCGATGAGAGGAAAGGGAAGACAAGGGGACGTGAAAAGCTGGTTAGAAGTCACCGTGCAAGCGTTGGAGGCGGAAGGTTTTGAGTTGCAGGGGCACCCTTATTTATCCGTGGCAAGGTCTAGTTGGTGGACTCAAAAGGGCACCCCATATGGGGAGTATCTAATCACGAAAGCCAGCAGTCAACTCACTTGAAACAGACCTGCACACCTTTTTCGGACTACAGGGGTGCCCTTTTTCACCTCCACACCGCCCCGACATCAAGACGGAAAAGCGCGCCCCGTCCCAAACCTATGTATTCTACTGTCTACTTCCACTCTTTCTCGAATGACGGCCGTATCCACTTCACCACTTCCGGCTCCTCTTTGTCCACTGTATCCTCACGAGAGCCTGCGATAGCCTCGCCCATAGGCTTCCCACAACCATCTTTGCTCACTGATCAGCAACACGCACCAAGCAAACTCATATAATATATTTGAGGGGTGCCCTTTTCATTTCCAAAACACTCCTGGACCAGGACGAAAAGGGACACCCCCCTTTTAATTCTACCTTCTGTTTCTACCTTCTAAGGGCGCCTGCGATCCCAACTTCACCCCATAAAAGTACGCTTTGCCCGATGTTAGCCAATCACTTCATCTTGCACGCTCAAGTGGCTCCAATATCAACTTCCACCCTACCAATTACATATGTGTATCCTCACCATAGCCTGCCCATAGCCTCGCTCACTGATTCGCAACACGCCGCAGGCAAGCGCCCCTTCCTTGGGGGTGCCCTTTTCACCTCCGAAACGCACCTGAACCGAGACAAAAAAGGGCACCCTATGTATTCGAACTGCCAGGTAGCTCCGATGTCAACTTCACCATGCAAGTACTCTTTGCCCGATGTTACCCAATCACATCATCTTGTCTTTGGCCAGGCTTGCCCTGAGGGCACCCTCTAACCCAGAGGCTGGTTTTCGTCCCCTCCCTTCTCAGGTGTATAATATATACAGAAGTTGGTGTAAGTTAACGTATATATAGGTGAAAACTGTTTATTGCTGGCAGCATGTATGGCCTTTCCATAGAGATGCATGATGCGGAATTACAGACAGACAACTAATTATACAATACCGTAGCATGCCATAAGGATAAGGCATTGCCCTCAACAATTGCCTGCTCTTATCAGTGCGAGGCCACAACCAATCCCGGAGTCAATGAAGGGGAAGGCGATCCATGATCACTTCAGTCCGAAACAGTTTAGTGATCATCCCATATAGTAATCATTGCAGGAATGCATCGCCAAAGGATTTCTAACGCAAGTCATGCAGCGAGTCGGGAACAGTACCCCGTGCCAATCTTGGTTTTTCAGTTTGTAGAATATTGTTGCATATCCCCGTGCAATTTCCAAGAACAAGTGTCAGTGTCAGGCGCTTTTCCCCACTGTGAACTTCCGGAACGTTGTCTTGCAGGTGGGTCCAATCCACGCTTGAGAGCCTCTGGCTGCTGCCAATCTTTGGCGGTTTGCGCTTGGCAAGTGTTTCAATGGGGAGCTCTCAAGTTTAAAAACATGATGTCGCAGGAGTCATGAGACCACAACCAAAGGTCTTTTGATGTCTTTGACTCTTTGATATTGCTGGCAAGCGATTGCAAGCCGCAGATCAGATACACCGCAGGTTAACTGTTTCCACAACAGAAGGGGTGGCCATGGGGCCTGGGTTTGAGTTTTCCATAAGTTTAGTGCTAGATAAATGCATTGGTGCCACAGTCACGACCAAAAAAACCTCATAAATATGCATAAAGGATCAAAAACACAAAAAAACTTAGGAAAACAAAAAAACAATTCTCAGAGACTCTTGTCTAGACCCCTCAAAATCAAAAAACAAAAAACCAAAAAAACTTGAGAAAACAAAAAAAATCTCAGAGACTCTTGTCTGGACCCTCTTGTCCTCAAGACTTCCCCAGAATTGTTTTTTGGTTTTCTCAACGTGTTTTTGTTTTTTTGTTTTTTTCTGATTTTGGAGGGTCCAGCCAAGAGTTTCTGAGAATTGTTTTTTTTGCTTTTTGTTTTGTTATTGATTTTTCTCAAGGATTTTTGTTTTTTGGTTTTCCTATTTAGGTTAATCTATGTTATTACTATTTCGCTCAACCTTCAAGCATGTGAGCCTAAGTCTCACCTAAAGGCATATGTTCTTTGCTCTTACAACGAAAGCGTCTGAGCCCAACACTCCCTTTGTCCTTGTCGAAATCTCCATGTACAAGTCTGTGCATTAACTTCTGATTGGTATCAATGTGGTTGCCAATTGCATGTCCAATCAGCTTGACATGAAACTGTAATGAAACCTTCCAATTTACATGAAACTGTTATGAATCTGTGTAAGCTGTAGTTCTAATTCAATGCTTGTTGCATTCGCTTCGGCTTTGTAATTTCGAAGCCTCCTCGACTTGTGCATCTTGTAGCTCAAGCGTTTTACATCTTATTCTGGCGAACTTCTAATTTTAATTCCAATTCCTTTCTAATTCAACTCTCATCTAATTTCAATTAGGTTATAGTTATAGTTCAATACACATTTAGTTGAAATTCGGTTTCAATTCAGTTCTATCTTAGCTCTAACTCAAATCCAACTTAATTGTACCTAGTTCTATTCTAGCTCTAGCCTATTTAGTTTAAGAACACACATGCTACAAAACCCCGTGTTTTACAGTTCTTTTTTGCCCTGGGAGTGCTGGGAACAAGACCAAGACTCTTTTTTGGAGTAAATAGTTAGATTTGTTTATTTACAGTAATCACTGGAGATAATATAGACATATAAAACATGTTTTATGTACAAGCGTCTAATTCAAGAGCTTCCCTCTAGATCTCTGGGGATGATCATTTCTACAATAAAAATATATAAAAGTTTTCATTTCACATGTTTTTTCTTCCCTTTGGATCTCGGGAAATGGTCATGTCAATTTAAACATGCTATATATCAATAAAAAAGTTTTTCTTTCAAAAATTTTCCTTTCATGAAAACACACATATATGGGACCGGGATATCTACTTTCCCAAAAATCCAGAGGAAAGCTTTGAAAATGCAAGTTCTTACCCGCAGAAATCTAGAAGAAAACTTTGAACATACAAGGTTTCTATATAGTTGTTTAAATCTGAAAATGATTACTGTATCTGCAGAGATCTATAGATAATCCTTTATAACATAAACGCGTGTATATACATTTTTTCCAAATCTAAACATAATTATAAGCATAGATCTAGAGGACAATTGTTAAAGTAAACATTTTTATGGCCTGTTTCTTTCCTAATTATCTTGTTCAAAACCATCTGAATGACTGATTGTTGCTTCTAAAACAATAAAATGACCCTGACTCAAGAATACATAATTTGTTCATATAGAGAGAGCAGGAATAGCTTATATATATATATGTGTGTGTTTATATGGAGAGGGGCTGCCACTGAAGCATTTACCTAACATTTTTGGAAAACCAAAATCCAGGCCCCATGACCACCCGCTCTCTTCCACAATGTCCGTCACTGTTTCCATATATGACCTTCTCTAGGATTCAAGACTGCCTGGTCAGGTGCATTTCGGTGCCCAGCCGCTGAGGCTGGCGGAGTCAATGGGCCAGTTGATCAAAAACAATCAAAAACACATCATTTGGAGTTTCAGGTGTCAAACCAAGTCAAGTACTTTACACAATTAGGCTGCTTTTCATGAGAACATCAAGAATGCAACTGACAGACTAAATGGCTCTAAATGGTGTTATGTCCAAGGTCCAAGAACGATTGCTTGCTGCAGCAGAGAAATTGTCTAGGTGTTGTCCACTTCTTTCTTAAAGAGACGCCTGCCTTGCCAGGGAAGTTATATATATATATATAACCCAAATGCTAGTCACGGGTCACTGTAAAGAGCAACTCAACCCAGACCTTCCAAGAACATCAGTTCCGAGCAAGGAAACAAGCGACAAAACAGAGCCGTTGCTTTCTGGTCCTGGCACATGCTATATCACTGGCAGAACACAGGGACGGATGGTCTTCTAATCAAGAGCTTTAAGCTACGTTTTGTGCATTCCTTCGAGATGTCTCTGGACAGCCATTTGTGAAGGTGTGTTGAAGTAGCAGCCAACGAAGGCTTCCTGCAAACCAGAACATTTTATCTCAGAATGATACATGTTCCCAGTCGACCAACTCTTGTGTTCACAGAAAAGATGTACCTGTACCTCCGCCCCACAATACCCCTACATGTCCAACAGTGATTCGCAGGTCATTGGCATTTGCTTGCCACAGCTGGCTACAGGTGCATAAGGCACATAGCGAGGTGCCAGAGAGAAGAAAACTGCGGGGAGGTTCAGTGTTCAAGTGTCCAGAGGTCCACAACTGGATATTGCAGATCAGGTGTACCGTGCACAATGTAAGAGCAATTTGTATCCAAATGTTTCCTTGACCCAAGGACGGGTGGGAGCGAAGGGTGAGACAAACACTCAGCATGAACATATATGGTGTTGGATGAGCATCTTTAAAAACTTTGCAGACTCTGAAAACTTGATTGTTAGTAGACTGTAGTTTCCGATCGTAGGGCGATGGGTTTGTCTTGTGATGCACCCGCGATCGTTGAAGTCAGCCTGTTGAGGATAGTCGGATAGTCCAGTCGCAGATTCGACCATCAATCGAGGTATTTAGGGATAAGTTGTTTCCAGGGCAATTTCATTGGTAAAATCATCAGCACTTCAGGTGAAGGGCGCCACGTCGCCTGCGGATGGGAAGTACGAAGTGCTCGGCTTGGAGAATCTTGGAGACACTGGGGTAGAGATGCTAGAATGAAACCCAAATTGAGAAATGGATGAAGTCCAATGAAGTCCACACAATGTAGATAATGAGTTGGGTATTCATGCTTGGATATTTGAACATACTAAACACAGAAGGTAGGTGGGTTAGGAGCAGGAAAAGTCTCATAGAAGCTCACTGGTTCATGTTTCATTCTCAGGTGCTTTTGCCTGTGGGATTGCCAGACGAAGGGACATTTGACTGGGTCGACCAGTTCCTGTCCAAGAACAGGCCGTTGCCTTGGTCGTTGAACCGAGACGTGCATAAGGCAGAACTGGTGGAAGGCAGAAAGACATAGATAGACAAGAATGGGCAGCACAAGAATCTTGTGATTGCTCCTCCTTTCGAGAGACAACAAGGGCCAAAGAGAAGGACAGGGAAGCCTTCTACTTCTAGATTCTAAAATATTCTAAATACTCCTGATTCTACACAGGGATTGAGAATCCCAACATTTCAAGCTGTGTGGGGGAGGCGACTGATGAAGACAAGAGCAAGATTTGTGTCATGACAGCCACCTATACAGACAGTGCATATGCAAAAACATGTCCTCCAACTCCCAACAGCAAGACTTGAGAACGACAAACAAGAGAAAGATTTGAGCTGCTGCCAGCTATCCAAAAGGACAATTTGAAGCAAACACCTTTGCACAAAAGATCAGACACAAAATGGAACTAACTGACAAAGAACTTTTAACGCTATGATGTTAGCACTGCGTGCAAAGAGAACCCATAAGGTTGAAGTCTTAGTTTCAATATGTTGCAATATAATATTATATAGTATAGTATATTATAGTATAATGTAATATAATATATACAATATATATGTTTTACATATAGAATCATATGTTATATATATGAGGGCCGTCCGTTATTGCCAGTGAAGGAATTTAGATGACATGTTAAAGCAAACATGTCGCGAAAGGGAAGCTGCAGTCCGCGAAAGGCCGGCGATAGGACGGCGAAAGACATGTGCCAACCTAGACTTATAACATATAATGTGCATAATACATGACAATATATGACACATCCTTTTTCCCGAAAGGATTTTCGCGAACGTGTCAATACATGACGAAACACGGATTTTCGCGAAAGGGCCGCGAAAGGCCGGCGGTAGGCCCGCGAAAGGGCGCATTGCCTGGAAGGGCATTTGCCCATCCATGGCCTTGAAACCTTTATTTCAATTATGAATTGACCAAGGGCAGCCTGCTTCTCAGCGCACTAAAAGGGATTTAGATATCCCAAACACTGTGAACTCAGTGCAATGGAACAAGCTTATCACAATGCGCGAAAGGAAAACCTGTGGCTTTTCTGCAAACGCGAAAGGCATGCGAAAGGCCGGCGATACAAGCTCAAAAAGAAGAGCTCTGTCGGACAATCCCCATATTTATATTTATTGATTCATATACAGTAATCATATTTGGTAGTTGATCAAAAGGTCGATGTAGGACTATGTTCATTGAGAGCGTGTTTTGCTGTTGCCGAGGTCATTTTGCTTGAGTTCGCAGAATATTGTTTTAGCGAAAGATCCGTGAAAGATTCAATTTCGTTAGTTTGTTGACATCTTTGGACTCCTAGGATATAATCCCCTGTGAAAGTTCGAAAGTTAGACACAGGGTTCGCAAAAGATATGCGAATGTAAAGAAAATGTTGTGAAGAATGACGATTCCATGAACAGTAATTGTGTATAGATCAACCGCCATGTGTATCGTAGCCTCATACCCTTCACGTGATTTGAGGCTCGTTCCAGCTTGCAAGATCGGTTGTTTCTTTTTGTCGTTAGGTAGTTGTACTTGCATTTGCCCATTGCTGTAAATCAGGGTTCGGGAGACTTCAACAGACCTATTGCTCGAGGAACTACACGGAGCTCAGTGATCGCGCTATCCTGGATTGGGCAGCCACTCTGACTTCGTTTACTTGAGATGTGGAGAGCGGTATCGGTGGTACCCCCGCACACCGAACTGGTGGCGGTGGCGCTTGGCAATTACATGTTCAAAGACAAAAGGCTGTGTTCTACTCCCAAAATCCAAATTGTTGCTTACCAATCGCAATAATGGAAGACAATGATAAATATTGTTGGGTTGACTATGTGAGGCATCATTTTTGTTCAGTCGTGTTGACTCAAAAGTTTTTTTGCAAATTGCTGACTTGGCTGCGGCACAGAATCGTTTGGAAATTGAAGACTCCCAGTGATGCGTTTCATCGTTTTATAAGTCTTGACTTGACTGAATGCGCACGCTAGCAGCGCTATGGTGGTCCTGCTGCTTAATAGAAGCCACTATGGCATCCACTTGAGCAATGAGCAAAACAAAGTTGCAACCCCCCACAATCTAGCTTCCATGGAGGATGGATCAGATCACTGTTTTTCCCCAAACAGCTTTGCTGTGAGGGGTTCTCAATTTTTGCATGGAAACGATCGTGGGCCAAGATGATGTCTGGCCTTTTGCCTCCTTTCGTCCCTTTGTCTCCCACAGCTCTTCCTGATGCTGAGCCAAGCTGATTTCTGACCATTTGTCTCCTTTTGTCTCTCATGGCGCATGGCTCTTCTGGATGCTGGGCTCAGATGATTGCTGGTCTTTTGTCTCCTTTGTGTCCATGCCTCTTCTGCATGCTGGACTGAGATGGTTCTGCTTTGTCTCCCTGTGTCTCCCATGGTAAAGAAACACGATGCTGGCAAAAAGGTTTGCCCCTACTGTTTGGGGTTGATACTGGTGTAATGTGTGTGTGTCTCATTGCTGCAAGTGAATTTTCAGTGGGATGATTGGATTTGTTTTGTTTGTACTTCAGGGAGGCCAGGATTGTAACTGGTGACTCGCACCAGGTCCAACAAATTTATTCCACTTCCAAAAACAACTCCACTCCAGCACCAGCTCCCACCTGCTGGCGTCAAGATCGTCAGTCCAGATTGGATGTCAGTCCACGCCATCCGACGTGTGGGCCAGACCACTCATCCAAGATGACGCCAATTGACTTACCTGCCACCTTCAATGACTTCATTCAGTTGCTTCTGCTGTTGAGAGCGTTATGGTGGCCTGTTTTCCTGACCTCCAGAGGATCGGGCTTTCTTCGGTGGTTGGAGAGTAGGAAGTTTCAAACCTGGCACACAGCCATGGCGCCTGGGCATACACCTGATGCAGGGACCCCAGCTGTTCTGGTGTAAAAACAAAGGAGGTTCTGACGCAGTGCGTGGCTCTGGTGTCCTACCTGGTGACCCCTTATGCCCAGTGACTTCCTTCACTTGTTCTTCTTCACCCTTCAACTCCTTTTTCTCATGACCCTTCGGTCCCAAGAGTGAGCTATTGGTCTTGCCGAACCTGGAGTGTCCTCGAGCGCCGGTGTAGATGCCGCTGCCTTAGTGTGCGAGGTGCTCTCCTCAGTCTGCTGGAGAGTGGTGGTGGGAGATCTTGTGGAGACTCCGTCATCGGTCTTGGAATTTTTTCCCACCCTTCTCAACTCTCCCATCTTCAGTGGGAAGCTCACCAAGATCACGTGCCTCTCTCTTCACGTGGGCTTCAGCAGCTTTCATCTCTCTTTGGCCTTGCTCGAGCTCTTCTTTCATGGCCTGACGCCTACGTCAATCCATCATGCCAACGTTGGGCTCAGAACCTGGTGACTCGCACCAAGTCACCAGGTCCGACAAAATTATTCCACTTCCAAAAACAACTCCACTCCATCAAAACGATCGAGCGCCACGATCCAATGGCTTCGGAAAAACGGCCGCTGCGTCCTTTGCCATGGGGCGGTTTGTGCACGAAAAACAGCTAGGTACTGCACGTGTCGTGAACATGACATGTGGAAGTGTCACTCCAACAGTAATGAACACCCTGACAGCTCCTTCACATGCATCTCAAAATCAGATCATAGACACCACAATATGGAAAGAGAGAAAGGTGTAGGACTAAACATCAACAAACACAAAGAAAACACCATCCCCCTTTGCACCCGCTTCAATTGGTGCTTGAGTCCTCCACAGCTTCGGCCCAGAAAAAGAGTGGCCTCCAGCGATATGGCGGCTATGCCAGAAGGACCGGCCGTGATTCATTGAACTTTCTGAATTGAGCATGGAAAAGTGAATACCAATGTAAATCATATAATTAATAAGAACTAGGCAGTGACATGCTTTTCATCGACTTGCGCTCAGCGGCTTCGGCAAGCGTGCCATTGAAAGCAGGCAAGTAGGCGACTCTTGCAGTCTGCGAGATGTGAGTCGCTGAACTGTCATCGGGACCGGGACCCCTGATTTGGCATGTTTGCCGCTCAACTGAATCACTGTCACTAAAGCTGAGCAACGTGCTACTTGGATCTACTTGGCCCTTGTCAAGGAGCTCCAACGACCATCCAGAGATGGACTTTGGCCTACCTTTAATGGAGGACTGCAACTGCAACAGCCGAGCATTGATATGTTGATATGAAAGAGTACAGGCTGACAGGTGGACTGTTTGGATTGGAATTGTCCAAAAAGGCTACCTTGACAAGCATGTTAATCCAAGTTGACACATCGATCTGTTTGAGATCCATGTTGGAATTGAAATGATGCATCGTGCCAAAAACAGATAAGAAACTGCATGGCTAGACAGTGTTTTACATGGGAGCTTGCAATGTCATACCAGCAAAGCGCAAAACATTTGTAGAGTTGTCATGTTCTTTAAAACACTCATCAAAAACATGATAGCTGGCTTAGCTACCCTAAACAAAACCATTCATTCGGGCCTGCATTGGTTTTATTTAGGCCAGCATACTTTTGCTGTCGCCTCCTACAAGGATAGGATGTCATGCATCGATGGCAAGACTGGATTGATTACCCTGCATGTCCTGATGAATTGATCAACAAAGAGAGACGACGATCATCGCGGGCTCTTCATCAGTGATCAAATAGCGGTCATGAGTGTTGGTGTCACAACTTGCATTCCAGCCCAGTCCTTTTCAGAGCAGGACGCAAGTGTTCACAGGGCCAGGAGCCATGGACTAGCCGCCTTTTTAACGTTCAATATGAGCACAAATCCAACCCCACTCTTGGACTGAACCGCAATTTGTATCAATTTGTTAAGTTTTGTGACTCTGACCTTGGAATCGAGCAATTGAACTTGCGTGTGAGGTAGAAGTGAGAGGAGTTGTATCAACATTCCAACTACTTGGGCAAGAGTGTGCGTGCTTTTTGTAGCTTTCGTGTTCCTTAAAAAGAGACAGCATTTCTGCCGTGTTTTCAACTTACAGACACTTGTGTGCAGACAACGACACGACAGTACTGGCAGGGGAGTTGTGTGCAAGGACGTTTGCGGACTATTGAAAACATTTGAAAACAATCACGCGCACGATGTAGGAGTCTTGTTTGACAACACATGTCTCATGAGGGTTTGTTTTGTCACCATCATTTGTATATAGTACCTAGCAGACCTAACAGTATCAATAAGAGCAAGGTAGTTAAGCGCTTCTAGGAACTACAACGGGGAGTAACATCAAAGAACAATAACAACATAGTGTAACGTAAGACATGTATATATGGCAATCGAGAAGCTCGCGTTCGATGAAATGTGTTTGAAACTGTAGCGGTGGCTCACAGAAGGCTCGGGGCCAAGGAGTCCTGATGGAGCCACCCCCGGATGACGAGCCGGCAGGGATAGCTAGGTTGTTGAAGGAAGGGTGGCAACGCTCCACCCTTGCCTTCTTCAACGACATGCCGAAACATGAGATCGCCGACCTCCTGCCGGGCATCGTCGATGGATGGACGGACGAGGACTACATGATGTTGAAAAGAGAGGCCAAGCGACAGAAGCGGAGACTTGACTTGGATGACAACCTGTTCCTCCAGCATCAGGCCCTGCTGTTTCGAGACCGGTCTTTCATTGACCGCAAGCTGGAGGACACCCCGCTTGGCCAGGCACGAATGGGCGCGGAGATTGAGGTCGTGATGGGCACCCTCCCGCGTGTTGGATGGAGGTCTGGAATGCATAGAAGGGCTCACCAGTGCACGACTGAGGACCAGAGAGCCCGACTTGAAGAGAAGGAGCGTGAGGCACGCATCCAGGAATTGGTGAAGCTATGGAGGTGACGGAGATGATCGAGGTGGAGAATCCTTTGGGGAAAGCTTCCAAGTACATGGCAGCTCGATATGCCATGGGCAGGCGCGCCAACACCATTCGACAACATGTCAAGGTTGGGTTCAGGCTGCACGAGTACATGAACAAGATCTACAACGTCCCCTGGCTTCGTGACGCCGGTGATTTAATAGGGTATATATCCCTACGCATGGAAGAACCTTGCGGCAAATCCGTGCCGAGCTCCTTATTCAAGGCCCTCGTGTTTCTCGAAACTTCAGCCGAGGTGCCACCAGACAGGAGAATCTCGGGAAGCATGGCCCTCCAGCATTTTTTGATGGAGATCGAACGATCTGATGTTTGGCAGCCCAAGTCCAAGAACAAGGCTGCCAGGTGGACGGTGGAGATGGTGTTGACATCATCATGGACAAGGACAAGGAGAAGTTCAAGAGGGTCATGGCATGGTATAAGTTGATTAAACTATGGGGTGCCCTCAGGAGTCACGACACCGAGGCCATCCCTCCCTCAACGATCAAGTACGAGGAGGCCCATGGACTGGAAGCGCAGATCATGCGCACCAAAACGACGGGGGCAGGACGCAAAGTGGAAGTGGTTCATTTGTTCATTTCCTCTCAAGCATGGCTCTCTTACCGAGGTTGGTTGGTGGAGGGCTTGCGCATCTACAAGAGCATGGATGACGAGCAAAGGTTCGCGGCAAGGGACTTCCTCATGTGTCTGCCCACGGCGGACCTTCAATCCTTTCGGAGGATATGATGAGGTACCCGGATGCCATGGTGTTCTCACGGACTCTCTTCACAGAGCTCTTGGCGCAGAGGAAGAATGAGTTCGGGAACTATGAGCGGCTGATGGAACCAGCTTCGAGCTCGTTTTGGTCAGAGCACTCTGAGCGAGTGACAATCATCAGCTGGGCATCGGCCTGCGGGGTTGAGAAGGAGACCAGAAAGCGGTGGGGTCGGTGGTCGCCCACAGTGGACGAGGATTACGTCACCACGACGAGGCAGTTGAATCTTTGCAGCACAGAGGAAGATGGCTGCCTACATCCGGGAGCAGTACGGGGTGAAGGATGTCGTCGACGACCAGGGCATCCTCAATACCTTCACCCTGTGGCTTCAGGGAGTCCATCACAAGACAGCGTCGGAGGCCAATATGAAGAGGCGAGGCGACTGGCTCCGCCCGGTTGGGGTCAGAGCGCTGTCGGAGAACGAAGAGGTGGTGGCGATCCCATCGACTCCGCCGCCGTTGGCGGACTCGCCCACGGAGCTCTTCTCGGAGGAGGAGCAGGAGGATGGGCTCATGGACAGTGAGAACTACCCGTTGGGGACATACATCTTGTCCGTGGTTGGGCGCACGAAGAGGCGCACTTTGCACCAGGTGGGAGGCTGCTATCGTGTCCCGGGGTTGCACTACAAGGAGTTTGTAGTGACCACATTGCAGAAGCGCTGGAGGCAGGGCCATCGGCTGAGGTAGGTTCCTCTTCAGAGTCGTCCTCATCGGATGACGGAGCCTCGGAGGCTGAAACGCCCTCGCACTGAGGAGCCGTTCAATGGATGGAGAAAGATGGCAATCATCTTTGGGAGGGGGAGTGGCTCCGCTTGGGAGCAACCAGGTTCTTTCCAGGCCATGGTTCGTCGGACGGTCGATGTTTGGGTTTGGTTTGATGGCGTGACCGCACGGGTCATGGCTCAGGTGGGACGGGGCGCATCGGTCCGCAACGGGCCGGCGCGGGTCTGGAGGACCCGCCATGGCGCTTATAGCGATGGCGAGAAGGTGGCGCTCCTTGCGCCGGACCTTCAAAATTTGCTGGATGCACGGAGCGTCCCGGAGGATCTGCAGGCCAGGTTGTATGACGCAGGGGTGGACAATCTGCCCATGCTGTCGGCCATTGCTGTGGACCGTAACTCATTGGAGGCATTGGCCAAGGATTCGTTGGGGTTGGATGTGACGGTAAGAGCACGGGATGCCATCAAGCTGGCTTCGCTCTACCTGGCCTGGCAATCGGCCTCAAAGAGGATCAACGCCCAGAACGAGATGGACGCAGAGGCCGTGGCCAATAAGACACCCAAGATGGTTCCACCGGTGGAGATGCAGTTGTTCAGGGCCGAGTTTGAGAAGCGCTACTACAAGCTTAAAGACGCCGAATGTCCGGGGAAGCAGAGCTTCGAGGATGTCTGTGAACAGGTGGACAACGGCGAGTTCAGGCCCATGGGACTTCGACACTTCGGCTCACGCAACGAGGACGAGGAAGCCGAGTCGGGAAGCTTGCAGTTGAGCAAGACGGGCACGGTTAAGATTAGGAAAGCTCGGGTTGAGACCAGTAACCCCACGAACTTGGAGGAATTCAGGTCCAAGGTGATGTTGATGGTGAACCACTACATCTTTGCACGTTTCAGGTACCCGAACAAGACGGTTCTCAAGGACATCAACCCGTTCACGGCCTTGGAGTATTTGAACTACATTTGTTCGAAGGACGTGTCACAGCTCGAGTCACAGACAGTTGACGGGGTGACCCTGCATCGGCCTTCGCTGAAGCTGATCCTGACCTATGAGTTCTATACATGAGAAAGAGGTGACCGACCAGATGAACAAGGGGGTTCAGTTCACCGATGCTTTGAAGGCGGTGACGAAGAGCGCCGACATCAGAGAGCGCCACTTCAGCACCCCTCTGGCGGTGTCCAGCGCCACTCAGAGCTTGCATTATGACGTAAAATAGCAGATAAGACAGGGGCCTCTTAAGCTCGCTTAAAGCTCGCCCAAAACTCGTTTTCAAACTCGCTCAAAACTCGCTTGTGCTGTGCTGATGTCCAATGGAAGCCCAAGAGTCAACAGGAAAGTCCAAAGCAAATTCAACTGATCATTAAAAAGTTCAAGCAAAACTCAGGGAAAGTCCAACTAAAGCTCGCGCAAAAGTCGTTTCCCGTGGCGTGAGCGTCGTGGTGAGTTCGGTGCAAGTTTATTTCGAGCTAAGCTCGCAGAAAGCTCGTGAAAAGCTCGTGCGCATTCAGTTTTTGAGCTTCGATTTGAGCTTTTGTCTAGTTTTCTTCTACCAAAGCTCGTCAAAAGCTCGTCAAAAGTTCGCGCAAAGCTCGCCCAAAACTCGCTGAGCGGGCGCTTCCCTGGTTTCCCTACCTCCTTGAGTTTCGCTTGAGCTTTCCTTTGAACCTGTGAGTTTTGCTTGGACTTTGCCTTGAACTTTTGAGTTTTGCTTGGACTTGCCTGGTGAGAGGTGAGTTTTGGTTGGACTTTTGAAGTGAGTTTGGACTTATTTCTATTTTTATTTTTAAGTTATAGACCCCCTTGTCTTATCTAGCTATTTTACATCATAAAGCTTGCAAGAGACGGCCAAGGTGAAGGTGAAGAGTTTTGAACGGCAGCACCCTTATGGGGACTACATCACCAAGGGCAAGCACGGCAAGGGAAAGAGCAAGGGGAAGCGGAATGAAAAGGGCGCGAAGGGCAAGGCAAAGTCACACCTCCACTCGGTGACCCCTGATGGCCGCCAGCTTTGCTTCGCATGGAACAATCCCCGCGAGGGATGCACAGGAGGTTGCAACAGAGTTCATGCCTGCCGAGTGTGCCTCGATCCAGGGCATCCCTCTCACGAGCACCCAGATGGGGGCGCCGAGTGACTAGAGAGTGAGTTCGGACGCTGTTGAGCCGCCAAGTTCCACGGCGGCGTGCAAGGAATTCAAGGTCCTCTACCTGTTTGCCGGTCGCAAACGCGAGACAGGCATCCCGGAGATTTTGGACAAGCTAGCGGCCGCTTCGAAAGAGAGGGTCGCCATTAGTGTCGAAGCATATGATGTTTTGCGTGACCCTGCGCATGACCTGCTGGTCGACCCTTTGAGGACAAAGATCTTAGACAGGCTGAAGCAGGGGGAATTTGATGCGGTGATCATGTCACCACCTTGCGGTACATGGTCGAGGGCTCCATGGGCAAATGCCAACGGGCCGAGACCTTTGCGCTCGTCCCAACATCCATGGGGATATCCATGGCTCGAGGGAGACAAACTAAAGAAGATCAATGACAGCAACCAAATGGTCGAGTTGCGCCTGCAAGCTATCACTATTTGTCTGCAACAGGCCATTCCTTTTGTTTTGGAGCACCCAGAAGATTTGGGAGCGACAACTCGCTACGGGCCTTCTGCAACATCCGGAGGCTCCCGGAGGCAGGTTTTGCCACAGCGGCAGCTGCAGCATATCCTCCAGCCATGGACCAATGGATGGCTGAAGCCATTTTCACCTCCCTTCTAAAGCGGGGGAAAGAGGCAGGTTCAAAGCCTAAAGCAGAGCCCTCGGAACCACCCTCATCTGGGGATCCGGCTGATGTCACTGATGGCGCAACAGCCCATTCAGATCCGTCGGAATCAGACCGGCATCACGGCCCTCCTCGCAATGATCCACCACAAGATGAAGGGCAAGAAAAGCGACCGGTCAAGAGACCCCTTCCATCTCCCAAAGACGGTTTACCTTGGGGCCCCCATCAAGTCTGGTATAAAGGAAAGGCTCGAAGGCTGGTGGATGGTTTGGTGAACAATTCGCCCGGCATCAGACCCGTAGGACACCGGCATCCACCCTTGACCGTGGAGGGCCAGCGCCTGGCGGACAGATTCTGGCGGATGGTGACGAGCTTCGTGGACGGGTTGGACAAGAAGCACAGGCTGATATCTGAGTTGACTCTGGGCAAGCATAGCTCTTCTCCCTTCTCCCAGCAGGCTGACCTTATGCGAGCCGAGCTGGACGAGTTGGTGAGCGCCTTGGGGCAGGACCCGAAACGGAGGCCGGGCGATGTCAGCACGGAGGTGGGTTTCAGGAGGGTCAGAGCTTGGGCCTTCCTTCTGGAGGATGCGGACTACCGATTCTTGGACGACATGGCAGGCACTGGAGTGCCGGTTGGTGTCCTTGGAGAAATCCCTTGGGTGGAGGCGGTGTATGACAAGAAGGACAAGAAGTCGGGGCCAGAGGCTTTGCCACAGGAACAACTACCCGTCGGCCAAAAGCCACATGGAAAAGGTGAAAGAGCGTGTCTTGGAGGACGTGAACAAAGGTTGGATGAAAAGAATGACATTAGAGGAGGCACAGGCTCGCTACAAGGAGGAGCTTCAAGTGGCTTCTTTGGGGGCGGCCCCGAAGGATCGTGAGTGGTCAGATGTCAGGGTCGTTCACGATGGCACCCATGGCATCCAGGTTAACGTCGATCTGGGCCAGCCTAACAAGATGACCTTCCCGCAGTACGACGACCTGGAAGCCACTATGAGAGCCTTCAAAGAGACCGCCACTCCCTCGCCGCCTGGTGCCCATACATGAGGCGGACTGGGGCCTCCAGGATGACGAGCAGGATACGCCAACTGCCGGGGCACGTTTGGGGTGGCCACAGCCGCCTTCTTCTGGTGGGGCCGCGTGGCTGGGGTCATCTTCAGATGCTTCCACAAGGTGATCCCTGTCAACTCCCCGTTCTATACTCCTTTTTGCTGATGACGGCTTGGTCTTCACGAGCGGCAAGGCCTACCAGAAGGTTCTTTTGGCCCTGCTGCTGTATCTCGAGATCCTGGAGGTCCCACTGTCCTGAGGAAAGACCCGTGGAGGGACTAAGGTAAAGTGGATAGGCTAATGTTGGCGCCTGATTAGTACATAGGGGCTCCCCCCCCTTTTCCTTTCATAGGTTGTATTCAGCTTCCTTTCTCAGGTTCTTTGTAATTGTTTTCAGCAATCCTTTTGCTTTGCAGCCTCAGATCTTCAGCTCAAGAGAAGCCCCAAGCTTTCATTGGCCTCAGGAGCTAAGTAAAGGGAGATTCCATGTGCATTTTTTCCAGTGGAAAAAACTTT